TGCGACACAAGAAGAAGAGATTAATGGCAGTAATTGGGCGTAGTAATACCAAAGAGAAGTGATGAGGTAGAGTGACAAGAAGAAATGTTAGATCTTAGAGGGGCCTGTACTACCGACGACGAAGAGAGGAAGGGAGATATATTATGGTGACATTATGCATTAAGTTATGATATTCTACTAATGCACATGCGTCAGAAGCATAAAGGATATAGATTCATAGAGCGCCATTATATAGTTATATTGTATACGTGACATTCAAAACAAACTAGAGAGGCTGAACGTACACGAATGCCAGAGCGATTGCAGAGAGAGCAGCAGAGCGAGACGAGTAGAAGAGATGAAGAAACGCGAAAGTTTAATGATGTACGAGTAGAGCGGATGGGCGAAAAGTACATCAGGTGCGTTCAATTAGCAGCTCTAGAATGTTTTGGATACCGGGTTGGGCCTTACCGTGCCACACCGCGTGCAAGGGAACTCAGGGTCTCCTAACTTATGCGGCTCCCCGTTAAGAGTCTGTTGTGTACAACTCGAGCCCTGTTGCGCGAAACACGCGTTAGTATCTCCTCCATCGTTAATATGAGCGGTAAAAAGTGTCCCGGTTCAGCGGCCAAACGGACCGGGACAGGTTTCAGAGAGATGGTGGCCGAGCTAAAGAACTTTTTAAAATTTTTGCTCACTCGTAATTGCTGTTCCCGAGAGTGCTTGAAAGCGACGGGAGCGAAATCAACTTGCCTCCCGTGTATTTTTGGCTGCTCCGCGTACTCTCGTTATACACTTCGGCTGGTGGCGACCCTCGCCACCTGTTCCGCCCTCGTTTAGACAGTATCTAATTATTACTAACAAATAAGCCTATTGTCGATAAATAGAACCAATATTATTCGACTGGAATAAAGTATAGATTAAAAACTTTATTACATCGGTAAAACTCGAGTCACAAGTGTAGAATGTAGTACCGAGGTTACTCGCCATAACATGTGCAGCGGGTTAACTGAGAGTCGTGTCACCATAGAGACTCTTTAATAATCTATAACATATTAAAAGCCACACCATGCTATGAATTTCTCATCTCCAAGTTCTTCAGGTATAGCACATTCTTTGTTTCCTCATCCAGATATTGACGTGGTACCATCGACAATCGTTGCCCATTATAATTCCTTAATATGTCTCTGAGAGAGACAAGCATCGTCCGAGCGGAGTGCCTAGCGGCGCGAAGACGGGGTAATGAGGCATTCATATTGGTAGTGTTGTTCACTATGTAGCAACCCTATGTCTATGCATTCGATGAACCGCACGGAACATGGCGGCACATGTTGCGTGTTCTATGATGAACTCACACGCGATCATGACCCAGTCATCTAACGATGGCTGCGCAACAATGTTGTACGAGGATAACGCGCTATCTCTTTCTAATAAAGCTTAACTTGATAGTACAGCTACAGCCTTTTGAGCGAGCGGCGCAGATTTTATGCAAACCACTATGTTGGGCAGCAGTAAAT